ATGACAACTGATACAACCACACCCACGAGCACAATCATGGTCGCACCTAATACCGTTGCATTTTGTGTTTAAGATTCTCTGTTATGTATCTGAAATCATTCAAACTATTTACTACTGTAAACAATTGATTGTAATTACTTAGTGATGGAAAACCAATAGCCTTGTAAAAGGTTAGCTCACATTGTCAAGTAAGGAATTAGCCCAACCAAACAATACTGGCATGTTAAGGGGAGCTGACCCCCGAGATCCTTTCACGGCACCCCTGGTTCAGTACCAATCAAGGCATATCCTTATACCAAATTATATCATATACATCAAATTAAAACTTGAAAGTGGGTCAAATGACAGAGTTAAGGGATAAATTGGCTGACACAGTTATCTCTTTGACGCTGCAGCGGGGCTGTGCCCAAATATAGATTGACCCATGACGTTTTTCTAGGGAAAGGCTTAAAAGGATTGATAACATTTGAAAGTTTAGTTTCAGTTTGGACTTGCATGAAGATTATTAAGTTTGTCAACGGCCATGTAATATTATATTCACTGTTTTCATTCTTAATCCGTTCAAAATCGGCATCATACAATTGGCTGACCTATTTGCTCTAGAAATTCCAGGCTTATCCAGTACCAAGATTTACGTTCAGGTCATTTTGCTTGGGAAATTCATCATCATTTCCCAAAAGGCATGGTCTTTTCCAGTCCCCTTCTTTTCTGATTCATATAGTATCACTGTATGATAATCCCAATTTTATTAATTCTATTCGGATGCTCAATTTTTTTCTTTCGATTAAGACTTACTTTTTTAGCTTTATCCATTCTAAAATGTTACCAAATTCATCTTATGCATTTTGGATTGATTCTTCAATGTTGATTAATGCAAAAGTTACGTGTATGATCTGCATACACTGCAACTTTTACGAGCTCTACAAGTTTTCGAAGTCGTTCAAACACATTATGAATAGAAATGGGCCCAGACAGGATCCATGAGGTAGATGACAGGCCATTTTGCCAACATTGGACTATTGAACGGCAATACTGTTTCCTTTTGCTAATGTAAGAGGTAAATCAAAACCCTTTGATGCCTCTCATCCCGTATGCCTCTAGTTTCTCTAGCATGATCTTATAATTGGCAATGTCAAAGCATTTTTAGGTAGAAAAATGTAGACATATTTAGTTTTTTCCATGTTGTCGTACCACAATGGGTACTGTATATATTGCTGAGTAGGTTTGCTTTGCGAAGTGCTGAATAATTTTCTTGGGTTATTGGAGACAAAGTATGTCTTTAATATCCTCTGACAAATGCCTAATTTAGACGAGAGGGTTTTTTTATTGAGGGAGAAATTTAAAAAATGGGACTCTGTCTCTTTGGCATTACGAAGGAGACGTTAAAAGCAAAATTTCACACCTATGACAAAATATTTCGATAAAAGTACTATTGTTCTGTAAAAATGTGAGGGGCATGCCCCCTGGTCTCTTTCTTTGTCAGAGACGATTGTTATATATAAAGGAAAAAATTTGTAGTACAGTAACACTTCATTAGAGTAGTATTTGTTGATGGTGGAATTGAAAACTGTTTATCAAATTCTATACTATATCTTAGTCTTTTTCTTGACAAAAAACCCAGATAGCAAGTAGACCTGGTTCCTTTTTTAATGTCCTTGAAATAAAAAGTGGAATGCCATTCTGTTTTCATTGGCTGCACGAAAATCAAGAAAAGTGAGAATCAGTGTGTGCAAAATTCGAATAATATATCCAGGAGACAGTTGTGTACAGTACCGAAGTGTGACATCATCGAAAATATTTTTTTAGAATTTCTTAAATTTGACAACATGATGTGAAAGAACGCCAAAAAACACCTCACCATATGAAAAATCAGTTAGATGTATTCAAAATTGTGTGATATGGGCAATGAAAGATTTCAAGTTTGCTAACAGATTACTGTTATTCTAGCTTGGTTCATAAAGAAATGAAGGACTAAATAACAGAGGTTTGATGGGGCAAGAGCCTATGCTCAAGTGGCTATATCTCAGCCAATTCATTATACCTATATAACTGATTTTGCATATTTAGAGGTATTTTAATATGCTTTTCTCGGTTTTGGGATCAAAATTAAAAAAATCTAAAAAAAAAGATTTTTGTAACGTCATCACTTCAGTACTCTCTAATTAGAAAATGGCATTGGCGTATTTTTGACATATATGATGTTATTTGGAAGGCCTATGTCAAAATGCAAAGTCTTACGACAATCTTTCGTACTCGTCTTGTAAGAATTGAGGTGAGTTATACTGTATTTCCTTGACAATCTGCTTAAATTCAAATTAGTGGCCTTTGGATTCTGTTTAACCGTTAATCTGATGGTTTCATAAAAAAATTAAAGAAACATTTTATGATATGATGAAAGGCAACTGCGAGGAAACATCTTTAAGATGACGGGACAGACAAGAAACGAAGTAGGGTCAGGCTAGTTTGTGTCCCAGACCCCTAACATGAAAGTAGAGTTAGGTGTCTGGAGCACAGGCTAGATCAGGCGTGAACAAAATCTAAATTAAGTTTTTTCATTCATAAGTATACTTCTAGGTACAGAAATGAACAGCAATTTTCAATGCTCAAAAATTTTACCTTGCATATTTTTGTTTGCAAGAATAGTAACGGTTTGAATTTATAAATGTTAGTCTTTATATCGATGCCCACTTTTGACAACACCAACTCCCCTCGCCTAAAAAATCAGACAGCTTTGTCAACTATTAGGTGACAAGGACTGTCCAAATAGCTCCTCGAAGGCTAGATAAGAATTTTTTTCTTTCAGATATCTCTTGAGATTATTGATAATTGAGATTAGAACAGACACTGAAAGAGAATGAAAACAATATGGGCCATGAATGTTGTTATTTGGACAAATAAATCTTTTTAAAGATTTTTTGCTACCCATTATATGTACTTTCTATTTTGTTTGCTTGGATAGATATATTTACAGTTGATATCAACGACCCATCCTTATCACCTCCACAAGCAAGATAACGCTTTTGGCAAAAATGCAATGGTCTTTCTGTCAATAATCAACAAAAGCGCTTCACTAATGTACAGAAACACCAGGTGTTCAAGACATTGAAATTTTAACCATAAGATTAAGATAATGAAGAAGGGAGAAGGGCGGGGGGTGGGTATTGCTCAGTGACTCAAATCTCTCGACTCTGGACACATTTGAAGTTTCTACAAGTCTTTATCTCTATTTCTCTATTTATTTATTAATCTTAAAAATAAAGAGAGAGAAAGGGAGACTGGTAGCAAGTCCAGGCAGCTCTCTGCATTAAGATGGGGCTAACGACAAAATTTTCCCGTACAAGGCTACAACGCTTTCTTTCCTACGACAGTATAAACAAAAGCTCCTGGAAAAGGGGTGCCTCATCAGCGTTCTCTTAGCTGCTTCAGGAAATGCCAGCAACTTTAAATGTGTCGGGTGACTAGCAAGCGATTTTACCTATGCTTTTAGTTTCATTTAAACTGGTCAAAATTTTTCAGAAAATTCCCAAAAAAATTCAAGACCACTATGTGGTAGCCTAGTTGCCTTGCTAAAGCCGTAGAAGAAACTCATTTTAACTTTGTGGCGCAGTCTGGTGTGATAAAAATCTTTGAAATAACCTTTCGAAATGACATGCAAAAATTTTATTCAGTGGACTTAGAAAGAATTCATAGTTTGCAGATATAGACAAATCAAGTTTGAAATAAGTACAACATCAAGAACACCCGAGCCTAAAATTATTCGAAAATAAGAACATTGAGCGTTAGCAAAAATTGTATTGCTCTTAAAAAAAAGTGTAGTGCATCAAATATTGAAAGTAGGCAAGTCACAGTAAAGTAATAGCAACCGGTTGTAGATTCAGCCAATTAACCCAATTTACAAATGCAACAATAAAAACAAACAACCCTATACAAAACTGCAACTAAACGTATTCAGTAAGAAATTGTTTAAAAATTTTCTATCTGCATATGTCAAACTTTGTGTACATTTTCATGCACATGAAACTTGCAATGCGTTTAAATCTGTCTGTTTTTCCTCTTTTTCCTTTTTCTGGTTTAGTCGTCAATGGCTGACCTGTGGTGAGGTAACAATTCTTCACAGATTGCATTGCATGATTTTTGGCTGTATCCAAGCACAAACATTGAGGGGGGCTGAGCCCCCCCACCCCACTCAATTCAATGCATGTATATTTCAACAATAATTAACTAAATACAGTATCAAAATAAAATTTTGATGTTTTAGAGCTACATTAGACAATCATACAAATGAGAAGAATAACAATACATCAATTTACCAGAATATTGCTGAAGGACATATGGAAAGAGCTCTGAAAGAGCTTTCGGGCCATATGCCCCCAGTGACGTGTAAAAGATCAAGAACAGTTAATATACATGCATTCAATACTAAAATTCAAGAAAGGGTTTTATGATAAGGATAAAAATGAAGATGAACATGAAGAAGATAAGAACAAACTAAATCGATTGTAAAAAAAGAAAGGGGAAAAGAGGTTAAGGATCATCTTGTATTTTTAGGTGTATTCTTGAAGTAACAATTGTTTGAAAAGACATGAAAAGTTTTTTTGGAAGCAACAATTTTTATGTTACTTGGTATGTTATTCCAAATTTTTATACCAGCATTTGTCATGAATAAAGATTTGTAGTTTGTTCTAATTTGAGGCTGGAAAAAGTTACCGCTATTAGCTTGTCGGGTTCTAATGTTATGACACTCGGTAGTGAGATGAAAGAAGTCACAAATGTAGCTATCAACTTTGCCTTTTCATTTTTTCGAAAATTCGAACAAAAGGGGCTGCACCCCCTGAGCCCCCCTACCACTACATTCCTGAGGGGCATTCAATATTTTGTTGTTTTTATGTCTATCTAAGAAGCACACTGAGGTTAATTCAAAGCTATAGAGTTTTCATGTTCAAAGCAAACAGCGTCAACCAGAAAACCCTTTGGTGGTCAACCCGATGATTATGTCACGTGGTGTAGCAACAACAAAGGCCTCGCGCGGCGAGGTGACAGGGTGTTCGATCGGGGAGGGAAATCGAAAGATGGAAGCCGACGGCCGCTTCCCAAGGAAGCAATGATGAGAAATAAAACATAACTTCTTGCGTTTTATATTATCTCAAGAAACAAAATCATGGAAAAGTGTTTGAAGCTGCATAGTCCGGCTGGCTCGGATCCAATCTATTATGAATGGCCGCTGGTTATAACAGTATGTTTCTGCCTCTTCAGAGGAATTTATTATCTGAATGAATTTGCTTATTTATTTTTCGTTCATATGATCTATACTCTGTTATGATAAATAAATTAATAAAGAATTAATGTTTTTCTTCATAGAATACACGCGATGAAGCCGCTGAAATAATCGAATCTATAAGGTCTGATTTAGTTTTTTGTATGGTGGCTTAGGCCCACAGCTTATAAATATGTTGATTATGCTTGGGCTGCCGCAGTTGGCCTTTCATTTATTGCCGTGCCCTTGCAATTATATTTTTCCTTATATAAATCAAGTTCACATCATATGTCAGGCCGTGTCTCCTAAAACATTATAGAAAATAGGGAGGGGGCTAACCTTAGGGAGCTCGGTACTTTCACCGGCCTGGTTCAAAATTTCAACAAGAACAAATACGGTACCAATTTTTGAGTTACTTTAGTTGAATTTTAAGGTTTTGATTCAAACCATTTTATAACTCAGTGCAAGACTTACGTTTTTAATTTTGGGAGCCGACTGGTTACCATTTCAACGCGTTGAAAATAGATTTGAATCCAAAACAAACTAGTCAGATGATGCGTGAATTTTTCTGTGGCCCTTATTTGATTTCGCATCTTGACAATGCTGTTTACCAATTGAACTCTTATATTTAAATGCATATATTATGAAGATACCGCAGGGTAGCGTGAAATATTTCCGTGTTGTTGTTTTCGGACCAAAGCCACGACATAGATGCAATTCATTTAGAAGACATGTCACCATTTCTAATAAAATAGAATGTCAAGGCAAAGATTCATCAAAGCAAAGCAAAGCAACATTGCTGATCTGACCTAGATTAATAGTGGTTCAAAACATAGAACTTTAATATCTTTTCTGACCACAAAAATCTTGAAAAATAAAGCAGATACAATTCTCAGCTTCTAAGCTCTGATAAATTTGAATTTTTGTGTGAAGAAAGAAAGACAGGCATATATTTCCAAAGACTGCCAATGTGTCATTTGGAGAATGGGTTTTAAACATTTCTACTCCTACATCGATACTGAGCAGGACAGAGTATCGGTATAATGCTCAGAGTGCAAGAAATAATAGATTAATGGATAAAAAGTACTAGGAGATGCTATATATATACAATAAAAGTTATTTAAAAAAGCACAGTTCACTCATTGCCCCCTGAGTATGATCATCATTTTTTTAAGTGGGTAGGCTAGGCCAATTCATTGTCGCAAAGAGTTTGTTATGAGGGCAGCTTTATAATCCTGGTTTAAACATATTGAGATGAACATAAGCAACATCTTCTGACATCACTAGGTGATGTTTTGCTTTGCTTTTGGAACTTTCCTAGCCTTTTAACAGTATATTCAAAAGAAGCACTTTCATAAGAAGCATGTTTTGTATCTGAAATTACTATATAATGTATTAATAACTGGCCTATTTTGTAAATGTTTTATTGATTTTCCAGGTGGGTCTGTGAAGACTTTCCAGAGCTGAGATTTGCCTTTCAAAACATCATCATGAAGGAATATGATTCCAGCTGGTAAGTTCTATTTTTGAATACTTTGTTGTACGTGTCATCCATCACTATCAATGGTTATTCTAAGAAAACTTTACAACACCACAAGTCCAAAAACAATGGAACATCTAACAAGCTTAGTGGTTGTTGTTCTAGCGGTGACTGTCACTGAATACAAATAAATCATAGGGGTAGATTATGACTTGTGATGTATCAAGCAAGGGAACATGAAAAGGCTATACAGTGGCTAGAAAAAACAGCCAGCTAAATTTGAAAGTTGATGACCTCACGTGAAAAACTGGAAAACTAATTTTTTTTAAAAAACTGTACATACTTTCTAAATAGAAACAATTTTTTTGTATATTTGTTTTCCTATGTTACCTACTTGAATGTTAATGGGGGTAAAAGTAGGCATTGGGGCACTCCAAATTGGCCATTTGGTTGTTGATTGCAGAGGTTTTTGATGATGAGGTGATCATTATTAAGAGGTTCCACTGTACAAATGTTATAATTCTATTGATGAAAAAATGAACAAAAACAACTTTAGAATGAGATTCACTGAAGTCAGAAAAATGAGTCTTTTGTTTGCCTTCATTATTGTCATTGGTGTTGGAGTGGTAACATATGTAAGAGATATAGAGGGTGGTGTGATTTTGCCCAATAAAGAAATAAACATTGAAATCAGTAAGAATTGGCTCAAAATAGTAAAAAGTGCATGAAAAATATGCTTGAATCTGAACATTACATAACTGGCATCAGAGCACCAAACCTGTGTTGAGTTATACAGATGATGTAATGAAAAAAGTTAAACTTGGAATACCCAGCAATGTGCAAAAAATTATTTAAGGTGGTCGATATTTTACAACACCACCAAATTGAAATCACAACACCTCAAAGCAGATATACCATTCCACGAAATAGCAACATTACAACCTTAGAATAACATACCATCCTACCTCTAAGTTCACTTCTTTAACTTGGCTGGCTCAACAAATAATTCCCACTTAATAATGAGATTTTGTAATGTTGAAATGACCCCAGCAAAATTTTTTCTTGTACATATATATTACATAATCAAAGTCTTCCTAATAACATTTACACTATGAACAATTCCTGATATATAGAAGCAAATGAATGCAAACTCCATTGAACAATTAGTTTGATGAGCCACACAACAAAAATACTCCTTGGAATTCTCATGAAAAGAGCAAGGGTGCAAATTAAGCCAGAAATCTCAAACAGCCAATGCAGGTTTGTACAAGGAAAAGGAACTCGGAATGCAATTTACATCATGAGAACACTAATTGAAAGAAGCATTGAAATGAAACAGGACATTTATGTCTGCATGATTGATTATATAAAAGCATTTGATAAAGTACAATATGAACCATTTATGGAAATTCTAAAAGATCTCAACATCGAAGGGAAAAGCTGGAGATTAATTAATAAGGAACATTTATTTGGATCAAAGTGCAATGATCAGATATGAAAACGAATTAGGAGCATGGGAAAATATCAAAAGAGGTTTTGAAACTGGGCTACGTATTGACTCCAGACGGGTTTTCCACCTACAGCAAAAGAGAAATGAAGAAAATAGAAAACATGCCAGCAGCTAAAGTGGGAGGGGTTAATATTAACAATGTAAGTTTTGCTGATGCAGGAGTCTTATTAGCAGGATATATAAACAATTGCTGATATATAGACTAAACTACAAGCCAAGAATACAGTTAATCAAGCTGAATTCAATTTGAATGTATCCATCTTCTTTGCCTGGCCTCTCAAAGTTTTGCCCAGGCCTTGAAACATTGCAATTAATGTTGTGACATAATTTGACACCTAGAGAGAGGTTGTATTTACTCAAATTGTCTCCATGTTGCAGCCGACTATGTTTTCAACAATGTGTTCTGTTTTTGTAAAAAGATATCTTAAATCAATTAGTTGAATTGTAAGTAAGCAGTTAACTAGTAAGGTGCAGCTTTCTGTCCATCTTCCACTGTAAGGTCTCAGTATAATAATCATTGCTGCTGTGACTAGGTCAAATAATAGCAACAGACAGTTTTTTGCAGCTTTTTAACTTTAGCTCAAATTTTAGGATTTTCAAAACTGCCCTGGTCATGCCAAACCAATCCTAAATAGCAATGCTAGCTAGGCAAGCTATACAGTTTTCAACATTTGTTTACTCACTAAGAAGGCACTTGAATGATCAATGTAATGCATGGGCCCCCTTTTTTTGTTCCTGTTCATTCACTTTGTATGTATTCTAATGTTTTCATTGCTTATGTTTATTATCTTTTTCCAGATGTAGAAATATATAAATACATACTGAAGCTCCTGTTTTCTATCCTTAATGAGAATTTATTTTCTATTTAGCTTCGAAAGTATGACACAACTTTGTAATAGATACAACAAAGCAATTGATAGCATATTGCAATTGGTAAGTAGACAGCATTTTCTATAAAATGATTTTATGATTTGATTTTATTTGATTTCATGATTTTAAAAGGCAGCTGATTAATGATATTTTTTTAATAGAAATGCTCTCAATCAAACAAGAACAAACTTTCAAATATATATTTTAGTAAATTTTTATTAAAAATCAATCTTTTATTCTTATTGTTTGATGCAATTTAGAGCAGCTTCAAAGCATGTAAACAACGAAATGAAGTATGTTAAGAAGTGGCTTGATGCAAACAAGCTTGCATTGAATGTTTGTGATTCATACATTAAACTGATTTTCATCCTACAAAGAAAGCTGTAAGAGCTATTGCTTTTGCGAATTGTTCTGCTTAATCTTCTCCTATTTTTTTACACTCTCCAATTTTGTAAGCTGCAGGATTTATTTGAATTGAAACTATTGACTTTTTGTTTATGAATCTGTAAATGAGATCTCCTCTTATTGTTTTCATGAGTTTTTTATTTACTTTCCAATGTTCATCAACATGATACCAGGCAGGCTTGTAAAAGTGACATTTTTCTGACACACTCTTCAATATGGCTCAAAATATGTCAGATAATGCAGATGCAAGATCTTGGAACGGCATCCGTACCTTGATCAAACAAGCCAATTCTATTATTACCTTCTGTCGGCAAGTTAAACTGCATTTGTTTTCCATCAAATATCTGTCGCAAGATCTTCATATTTTCAAGTGATGACTTTCTGCAAATTGATTTGATGCACACTTTTTTCCAAACATAAATATTTTTTTAACTAAGGGGGTGCTCTCTCCTCACTTAGTTTATCTAGTGAGAGAGCTCCTTCTGTAAGAAATTCCCTACATGAAAATCCCTACTTTGTGTTGTATTGTACTTTGTTTTGCAGAATTGTATTTTATAAATTTTGTAAAGCTTTTGTTTTTTAATTGAAAGTTATATTTGTGAAATTGTATTGTAGCAGAATTTTAAAATTAAACAAATAGAACTGAACTGAACTGAACTGAGTGTGTCTAATGAAGATTTGGGATTCATTTAATTGTTTTTTTTAAAACTCTAAATACACACAAATCTATCTGCCAATAGAATCTTGCTTCATTTCTCTTTTAACAAAAAAGCTAAGTATGAAATGCAGTTAAATATGTTATCTTTTCTGCTCAGATCATAATTTTGTTGGTCCTTTATTGCAAAATTGAGTTATATGAAACAAAATTAAACATTTTATGGCAAACCAGCAATAAATTAGCAATAAATCAAAAAAGGGAGCCCCTAGACAAAGAAAATTACAGTCAACACAGGTTTATAATGTCAGTTAATAATCGTGCATAGAAGGGAATGGTTGTTGATTTGTTTTTCTAATTGAAGTATTCTTAAATAATTTTGAACATGTGGCATAAAAAGGCCAGCTTCATATATGCTGGAAGGTCACAACCATCTTACAAATTCAATGTTCTTACAAATTCAGGAAAGAAGTTTGCCATTGTTTTTATAGCACCAAAGCTATAAATTTTTGATTTTGATTTTGCCCTTTGATTTTCAATTTGTACTTTGTAATTTTTAAAATGAGATAAAGGCAGTGTCCAGTTCATCTTTAATAACATGCTCTAACAGTCTCCTCTGCTTTCTCTCTACCAATTATGTAGCTTTTTCCATATAATACAAAGGTTGAGCATTCTGCTTTGTTGCCTGTCTTTTTTAAAACCAAGGGTCTACTCATCCAACCACTCTTTCAGCTTAGTTCCATTTATCATTTCAAATCCTAATTTTTACTTAATTTTAAAATAGATATCGTGAAAGAAACCAGTCCAACTTAACAATTAATTCTAAAAACAAATAACCAAAAAATGTGAAATATAAGCAACATCATCAGCTTGTGCTGCTGTGTGGTTTTTTGTTCTTGCAAAGCCATTTGAATGTGGGCAGATGCATGCTGGATCTCCCATATCTTGACCAATTTACAAACACACTGTAAACAAACACAAACACACCAAACATAAGTAGACTGCGTTTTATAATGATTATTGCATTATGCTTCAAAATCAAAATTGTACTGCTAAGTCAATCACTACAGCAAAAAAGCAAAAAATAAACCATGTAACTAAGTGTATAAAGGCTAGAAACTGTCATTGAACATTTTTTATTGACAGGTTGAATAGGTGCTTGCTTTTGTTTATTTTTTTAATGATTTTTTGCACCCTGATGTTTTTCGCAGTGGAAAGGCAGGGCACCACCTCCGAAGATGTTCAAAAGACCTGGAAGAGAGCTCCTGAGGCATGTTATCAATCTGTGCTATAATCATGCAGTTTGTGAACCAGAGAAACTGAACATTTATGAACCGTTCTCACCTGAGGTATGTTAATTCCCTTTCTGGAATATTAATCTGCGCTGTTTTGGTTGAACATGAAGTACTCTTTTGGTAAGGCAGTGTTGTTTAGAGGATACCAAATTTCTTTGCAGATGTTACCAGGCCTTGCTCTAAGCAAAATGAATGTGTTTCATAAAATGCGCTGCTAGAAAACTCAATGCGCTTTTTGTCAAGCAGCTAAATAAAATTGCCTTTAATGCATCATTAGGAGGAGTGCAGAATGTTGCAAAATAGTAGCAAAGGTAGAAACTGGCACTTTTTGGCATTGATAATGGGAGTTGAGCTCCCATAGCATTACACCCCTGGGTCGTTGGTATGATATCGTGTGGTATTTGTTTGTATACAGTATCGTGTGAACAAATCTCCGCCGATATCTACACTCATACGTTTTAATATAGACTGGCAGGAATTAAGCTTAAATCTCGAGATACTCCTACCCATGGTAGAGCAAAGCAACCCTGATATTTTCTGGCTTCTGTGTGAATGTATTATCAGGTTGTACGCACAAAAGCTGTAGCAAACTCGATACAGTCGGGGGAGGGGGTAAATTCAGTGTGTCTTCTTAATGAAAACGAATCAAACGTTTTGCATTCAAACAAAAACGATACATTTCCAAATATCATTGTTTTATCAAATGATTCCAGTCTCAAATTGTTTTTATACGTTTGTTTTTTCGAAGCATGGAAAATGGCGTTTGTTTTGAAAATGTATTCTTGTAGACATGGCCTTGGAAGGAACCTGATATAAATCGAGTACAAAATTCTGTATATAAAACAACACAAAATATTAGTGGTATAAACTCTTGTACAGATCTTATTAATGATAATATTGTGGTCAATTGAGAAGATGGTTTAAGTTTGATCAACATTATTTCAAAACAATTTTTTCTTTGTGGCAATATCGTTTTACAGCGCCTTTCCGGGCAAGGCCTGATAGTATGGGAATTACACTGATAATTCCCTGTTATTGATAGAGTATTGGCAACCTATTTGTTAAACAGTGTTATTTGTCAAGACCCGTACACATCGGCCTATTCAATGATCTTTACTATGGCATAATGTATTCTAGGTATATGGTGAAACATCGTTTGACATGATTTGCCAAATGCTAGATGAAGCCAATATTAGACCTCAAGACACATTTATGGATCTAGGAAGTGGTATGTCCAAAATGTTTTTCCACCTTACTGTTTTTAAAAACATGTCCACCAACTAAGAAATAAAATCCCAGTTTTCTTTACCCTGCACATTCTGTTGATGTCAGGTTTGAAGGGCATAAACTCTGCTTTTCTCAAATTTGTAAACTTTACTTATCCTTTCGTGAACAGTGAAACTTATTGTCAAAGATGATTTGATACGAGATTTGAAAATTTGAAGCTGATATATATATATATATATTGTGTATTCTTTCAAATATTTTTAACGTAGCTTTCAAATTTGCATCTAGCTTTTTTGAAAGATCAGTGAAAAAAAATTTGAAAAAACCCCCTATAAAATTTGTTTTTTTTGTCTAAAAAATTTATTAATGATGAATTTATCATATATTTAGTTTTCTTATTTTTGGAAATTACCAGGAGTTGGTCAAGTTGTTCTCCAAGTTGCTGCGTCAATAAATTGCAAAGAATGCTACGGAATCGAGAAGGCTGACACACCGGCAGACTTTGCAGTTGCTATGGAAAAAGAATTCAAAAAGTGGATGAGCTGGTTTGGCAAAATTTATTCTCCATTCAAGGCAAGTACTGAAAAATGTTTTAGCTTGAGTCTGGACCTCAGAGGGTGTACGACTGTGTATCTGTGAGTTCTCGATATTGCTAGTTAAACCTTAAGTGCCGAAGACAATGGCGACGAATTGTTTGCTCGCTGACCAAAAGTCATTTCCAACTATGGATGGCACGTAGTTAACAGGTGTTGAGTGTTGAGTTTGTTGTGCTTAGTTACGTAATTTGCAAATAATTTCAAATGATCAGCTATTGCTTAATCTTTAAGCGACTAATAATCGAATAAAATTCTTATGACTTTTCATGTGTAAGTGGTTTTCAGTTTTTCCATTATACTATCTTGCATAAATATATTTTCTTGCCAAATAAAAGTGGCAGTGATGAACCATTTTTTGCTTGGTTTTCTAATTACACTGACTACTTGGTTATAGCTCACAGTTGAATTTATAACGAATGTTTATAAATTTTGATTTCAGCTTGAGAAAGGCGATTTCTTGAGAGACGAGACAAAGACCCGTATTGTAGAGACAAAGTATGTTCAGATTTTTGTATTCTTTCTTTAAAGCAGATGATTCTAGCTGTGCATATAATATATATTTGAATGCATATTGAGTATATATATTTCATTGTATATTTAGTGTTTGTTGTATTTGTTTCTACCTAACAGCTAAAAGTAGTTTTTAGGACACTGAGAAGCTTATGCTCATCGAGCAGTGTCCTGGTCCTTCCTCTTGATGTGACCACACCTCGTGATGCCTGAAATTACAGAGAGCTGGCAACTCTCCTCACTCTGGGTGAAAGTTTGGTCATGCCTAGGAATCGAGCCACGGGCTCTTGGGTCTGTAGTCAGCGCCTCTAACAACTGTGCCATCCTCGAACCATCATTTAGTTACTTTACCATGTTAAGTGTGGTTGTTACACAAGCTATCCTTTCGGTGCCTTTGATTTTTACCTATCCTTGACTTTTCATGCACTAGTTAGCCATCATAAAACATTCTATGTGATATTTTGTTTAGATTGCTATAATTCTTTCTATCTGAATTGCAGCGTGATCTTTGTAAACAACTTTGCGTTCGGCCCGAAAGTCGACCATCAACTCAAAATTCGATTTCAAAGTTTAAAGGAAGGTAAGCATTACCAATTGTGTATATTAAACACTTCAGTAACAGGTTGAATGATTTTGATTAATTTCTTTGAATATTGTAGAGTTTTGAATTTGTCTTTCTTTTTCTGCTTTTAGGTGCCAAAGTTGTCTCTTCACGTGAATTCTGCCCCATCAACTTCAAATTCAATAGCCGGAATCTTTCAGGTTTTTTTCTCTTATTCATCAGTAGCTTTTGCATTACGATTTTATAGGAGAAAGAAAGAGAGAAGAACGCCCGAGTTAAAATCCAACCATCGAGTTTTTTCATGAATATTCATTAGTATCCATTTTCAATATGAACACGTTGCATCTAAGTCACTTGACGGTGCTATGTCGAGATGAATTTCGGTAATCATCCAAATTCTCATTGGGTAAGTTATACAATAGGCTGATGTTCAATCTTCCAATCAACACCCGCCATTTAGTTTCCAAATTCTAGTCATGCCACAAAGCCTACTGTTGACTTGATGTCTAGGGATTGTTTCGTGAAGACAAGAATCCTTCATATCAAAGTTAAACCTTTTATTTTATTTACATTCATTGAAATCTATGCTTGTATTAACCGAGAAGGTCGAATTTTGCCTTCTTCGTATAAAATTCCATGTACCAGTCCAATTATTATCTACACTACAAAATTAAGAAAGATAAGTCGAGTATCTTGTCCTTTATTTAAATATACAGTCATTCTCTCAATAATATTATTTGAAAAAGGCTCAAATTGCATGTTTTATGTATGTATAAGTCAAATTACGTCAAAGCCCACGACACTTCAACTGATTGAAAGTTGTTTGTATATTCATATAGAAAACTGAAGTCAAATAGCATCCTTTACTCGTTTAATGTTCGATTATTCAAGATATATCATATAGATTTAGAAGACTTGAAGCCATCTGTCTTGAAAGCGTACTTAGACTCAAACATTGTTTAAAAGTTAAAACCGATTTTATTTACCGTAGAGCTAGGAGCAATGATGAGAGTCACAGAGCTCAAGCCTCGAAATCAGTCAGCCTCTGTTTCATGGACTGGGAAAGGCGTATCGTATTATTTGCACATCGTAGATAGAACACGGGTAAGAAAAATAATTTCTGACACCTAGACGAGTATGAACTAAACATATATATATTTGTAACAGATTGCTAAACACTTGTATTTATTGATTATACTTTTGTAGTCGGTAATATTACGCCGGGGGTTTGGCTGTTCCCAGTATGGTTCCACTCATAACCAGTTTTTTTGTTAATTTCAGTGTTTTGAAATCTATCAGTGTTTAAACGATACATTCGATACTTTTAAATTCTTTAAAACTCTCTTTCAATGTAATTACACCTCTTTTAATTTTAATTAAGAGTCTCATACATTTACTGCACCCTGCTTAACGTTTTTCACTTTGTCGGGACAAAAGATAAACAATCGTTAGGAAGATGTTTGTTGTGGAAACGAAAAATTTAGGCCAGAGCCATAGCCAAAGAAGATGGTTCTGTGGTCCTTTTCTAACCTTTTTTTCCACAACAAACTTGTTCTTCATTTTTTTGTTTCACTTTGCTCTCATTTTGGTCTTATCAGATCTGTGTTCAGTCTTCACCGCTTGTCTCTTCTGTTTTTCATTCATGTTGCATTTTTGAAAATATTTATTTTTCAAATTTATTTTCTAGCTTGAAAAATATTTCAGTATTTTGAAGAAGAAAAAGGTAAGTGAATTCTCTCTGTTCTCTCTGTTCTCTTTAGAACACCAAAAGGGGTAATTTGTTAAAATAAGCCTTGGTACTGATCACAAAGTAAAGAGATCTTCCACTTATGTTTGCATGGTTTGGTGACATCATAAAGAATCCTGGCTTTATCTTCTTCAGTTATCGAAAGATTTAAAACGCTACTCACGACATGCCACCGCTTTGATGCCGGAGCCCTTGCATAAGTTATCATAGTACTGAAGAAACGAATTGAATGAGATTACTTCGATTACATGTATAAAACCTAAGATGTAAAACCCATTCAAAATTAGTACTTTCAAGTATTTTTTCACCTTAAAAGTTTTTTGTCGCTCTATATACGCACAAATAATTACGTCGGCATTGAATTTAAATGAAATCTATAAGGGGAAGTATCTGGGGAAGTGTTTTGGGGCTTGTTTAGCAAAAAAAGTGTTGATACGGATGGGAAGACCTGCCTATAGGGAATCGTATCTATGATATTTCTAAATCTGTGCGCCAGTTTTCCTCAAACATGCTTGTACACTTGCTATTGCAGTTGATTAATAGGCACATGTTGCCACGTGACTAGTTTTGATAGAAGAAGGCCTAACCTGATTTTTCACCTCTATATATGCAGCCTACCCATATCCTTCGTGTATTGTTTCGGTTAGGCTGCGTTGCGTATCAATTCAAGACATCAATAGTTTTTATTAATAAATTTTCAGCAAGGACTTCCGCTTGACGATGACGAAAGATCAATTTGCTCTGAGTCAAACAACAGTAGCATGTTTGAAAATGGAGTCGATGGGACCGATGAGCCTGAGAGACTAGAAGACAACTTAGATGCGTTGTACCTCGGCGCCACGACGAGGCATCAGTGGCAAGTGCTTGTATCAACCCTTGCTGCAAGCAAAAAGGAACACGCGGAGAAGAAAGCAAAGGATAAGAGGGACTTAGAATTGTCTAAAGGCATTAAACTTAATAAGAAGCTGCTGAAGTTGAACAGGAGTCATCCACAAAACTTGGTAGGTGTGAGTAAAAGCTTTTGAACCATCTTCAGCTGATTTGTCATTTCTGCTTCCAAGTTTCATGTTTTCATGTTTTTGTTCTTCAAGTTTTATTTAACCTTTTTTTGGTAAGACTTTATTATACTTTCGTCTGCATTGAGTTTTCTCACTTTCTAAAGTGTACAAAATAGGTTTTGTAAGAATTACAGAAAAGGTGAAATATGATTCTCATCTCCATTATTGGAAAAGTTTAATTTTAAGCCAATGTAGCTCTTTTTGTGATTTTCTGCTCATTTGATTATTCTTCGCTTTCATATACTTAAAATTATTTGGCAGCAAGGGAAACTGAAGAAGAAGATAATCGAGAAATACGAGAAACAGAAACGAAAGAAAGAAATACTTAGGGAGAATCCTTCGCACTTGAAACCCGGTCCTGGGAGGCCATCGAAGAGAAAACCAGAAGAAGTTAAAAAGCGTCCAGTTGGCCGTCCGGTATGTAATAAGTTTCTTCATTCAGTTGCGAAAGTCACACATTTTCGAATGATTTTCCTCAAAGCCTTGTAATTATTACATGTTTTGGTTTAATTTAAGTTTTTGGAAATTTGATTGTTCAAAACTTTGAATTCAATGTTTATTTTGTTTTTGTATTTATAACAAGTTTTCCTTTTCAAATAGAACCGTTTCATCTTGCAAACTTAAAAACTGCATCGCGTAGTTTTCTAGGAATACAATTTTCGACGAGATGTCTTTCGTCTTTCAATATTTCCAATCTCACTGCTCAAATGTGTACCAAACCCATTTTTTGTCTAATTTATGATGAAAGGTGAACTCAGATTTAGAAAACCTTGGATTCTGAACTTTCACGGTTTTAAGTGAAGTATCTTAATTTCAAAATTGGATTATATTTTTGGAGTATCGAATGCTGGGACACCGAAAATGTTGTAAAAATGCTAGATGCTAGATTTTCCTAATGCTTAATATGAGCAATGTGAATATTTTATACATTTTGGATGATTTTTGTTAGACACATTTTTCGTTGGGGAAAATTTTTTGCTCAGAAATTCTTGTTATAGCTATTCAGGTACAATGTAAGAGCAATTCATGCGAGACACAATCAACTCATTTGACATAAAAAATTATCGCATGGAAGAATTATCCCACCTTTGTTAGTCTAGTTTCTTAAGTTCAAAGTAAAAGTGCAAGAATGCAATATGCAAACGCCGTACTTACATTTTGTGAATAGAAATGGCTATTTGAAAGAAAATGTCTTTTCTCTTCCTAGAAATTGCTGGCCATAGATGAAAGCACAATAAGTGATGACCTTGATCAGTATTTTGGTGAGTGTAAAAATTTTGTTCTCCAAACATTTAGATTAGAATGCTCAGCATCTGCTAAATTGCGACACATCTTAATTTCAAGTTTTGCTACTGGTTATAAACTGTCCCTTTCCACTGAAGCTTCCTGTGGGCATCCGCGTTTTACAGCATGAAATCGTACATTAAGCAAATAGCAATGTTTATATTCTAGAGAAGACCCCTACAAAACACAGGAGCTGCTTTGTTTGTTGACAGTTGGACTTAAAAGTCATTTCTGTCCACGCAGGCAAAAAAGACATTCTTCATTTTATATTTTTCAGCATCAATGAAAGAACAGTACATGGCGTTTATCAAAAGGATGAATACGAAAGAGTATGCTCACAAAGTCAGCGTCATGATTGAATACGAAAAGGTATAGTTTGTAAAGGACATTTTATGCACATTGTTTGTATATGTTCATCCAAAGAAAATATAGACCCAAGTATGTAATATAGCAGTGTACAGTATAATAGTTTTATTACAATACCAGTCGAGCTTATGTAGGGTCTTGCCATACGATTTTGCGTTCAAAAACCATGATTTTTACGCATAAAATGGTGATTATACCATAAAGACCATATTTTTGACATTTGTAATTTATGTGTTTCAAAACAAATACTGAATGAATAGCAAAAACAAATAACTCAGTATGAACACTACAAATAGAAAAGGACAGTTTACAAGATTCATTGACGACAAACTTCAATCTATTTAGACCGTTGTAACAAAATGAAAATAACAAACGTATTTTCGTTTCAAATCTCAAAGTTTAAGATACAAATGATTAACTCAGCGTTTGGCAAGCACGCTCTTGTTTATTTGATTATGGCGCACAGGAAGTGTTTAATATTGGTTATAACAAGCACATCAAAAATACATTGCAAGTGGATGAACCTTGTTAATTTTTTCAGTAAGCCTTGCTTCCAGTACATTTTCTGTCCATATTGCGTTCTTTCATAATGTTTCAAGTGTACCATAATGTCAAATTTCTGGTACATGCTTTTGGAACTCTCATACATATCCTCTATTAACTGTTGCTTTCTAATCTGATGTTTCAACTTGTTTTTGGGATATAGTTTTTGTGCTTCGAAACTGTATGTTGGTACGACTATGTTGTTGAAGTAGCACGCGATCCATTGTCTTGGTTGTTGAATCTTGCGCCATCGTTGGTACATTTAATAGTTTGATTCCATTATCCCCATCATTTTTGGCTCTAAGAAAAAGAGGTGCTACATAGATGAACAATCCTTTAAATAAAGTGTTTAACGAGAGTTACAGGGCAAAATTACACAAACCCATTTTTCCTCGATTCCTCTTTTCGCATCCTGTTAACAAGGTCTTCTTGTCTAAAAGTGTTGTTTCTTTCGAATTCCAGATGAAGAGAAGTCTTCTCCAAGAAGAAGTCTCGAAAACAGAACGTCAGGTAATTATAATATAGGTTTTGTTTGACGTTTTAAAGTCGATTAAACTTAAAGAGTCTTGAATTTTTTTAGTCACTGAGCACTTAAGCTTTGCCGGTTAGCTGATACCTAAATTTTTAAATTAGATGACACTAACTTTTAAGCTAGTAAATGCAAACTAATCGCATTTGATTTGAGTTATTCTTTCATTTTTCTCATTAAGTAAGCGCAAGACATTTTCACATTGTCTTCAAATTAAGTTGCATTTTTCATTTCTAGCCAAAACACAATGCTCGTTAGAAGATAATGAATGCGCAATTTTTAAAGAAAACCCTTCTGTTTAGATTTTGGTGCTTGAATTTTAAAGATGTTTGTGGATATTTTTTCTGCTCGCATGGCATGATCCCATCTTGATCATTTTTTGGAGGATATTTGGCGAACTCTACAGGAGTAGTTCAGTATTATCCAACCAAACCCCTTTAAAAGCTAGGCAAAGAAAATTCTTCCGCTTTTCAATGCAACGCTGAAGTGCGAAAAGTAGGAATTAGAAAACATAACTTCTTGTTTAAAAGGTTTAAAATTATTTTCAGTGTTTTTTTTAAATTAAACTGTTATGATATGACGTTTTATTAAAATGATTCTCTTGCAGGTACAAGGGCTAATAAACGATGGTCTACAGTTGTTCACAAAAAGAATAGACGAGGTAATTCGTTAATTTTAAACTTAACACAAGTGGGAACGTAGCATAACAAACTATTTTTCCTTTGTAATTTCATTTAGCGATCTTACATTTGTCAGTTTTGTGCTGAATTCAAATGATTTTACATGGGGCCTTTTCTCTTCAGTCAGAGCCACATTTAGCTGTTTACCTTCATTAGTTTTTTCTCTATTCTTTTTCAGTTAAACATCGCAGTAGAGACTCCCAAAGATCTTTTAAATAAATCGAAAGCATTGTCCGTCAAACAGCGTAGCCTTCAAGACCAAATGCTCGCGATGGAGTCTGATGTTTTCTTCCTCGAGGACAAGTACAAGAAAATGGTAAATATCAAACTTTTTACAATTCATTAGTCTGTATAGATTGTTAAATGATATTAGCAAGACAGAAGAAGTCCTGTACAATATACTTGCTTGAAGTTTGGGGAAATTTTGTGACCAAACTGAAAGATATTTTCGACTTGCCTTCCTTCTTCGGGTATGAAAAAGATAATGCTGTTTAAAAGGGGACTAGATCTTTGCCAAAGTGATGATCGAGGAAAACCAGTGGTTCTTCTGATTAGCTTGTTTCGACCTGTCCGCAACTCTGATGTGCTTGATGAATCCTTAGAAGGTAGAGTCTCCAGGCAAGATAGGGAAAGGTGAAAAATTCTTTTACTCAAAGTACACAAGATGTTTTTGTGCCTCAGGGTAGATTTCTTCGGCCAGCAAAACACTTATCTTCCGTATATGTGTTTATAATCTTTCTTTGCCCTACTGTAAACAAAGCATTGTCAAGATGTCTTGCTTATTTGATTCAGCAATATAGCTTTCAACTATCTTTCCCAGTCACCTCTTGAAAAATGTTTGGTGTTGTATGAGATCCGTATAGTTACAGTTTATCATTCAGCCTCAAGTTGTACTGTCTCCAATGTTTGAGATGTGTTTGTTTTCTCCCAAAGTGTCGGCAAAAGGACATTGACACGGGCTTTGAAAATAGTCTTGTTGTCAAACCAGAGGTCTCAGCAGATACGGTAAGCCACTTGCGTATGCTTTTCTTTCAGATTCTTTTTTGTGTTTAACTGATGTTACTCAAGTGTATTTTCTTATAAACCTAGTAACGGAGTTTATCAACGATGTATATAACTTAGTGTATGAACTTTTCTTACAGAGCATCTATTTACCTTTGTTGTTTGGGTGCTTAGTTCTTTACATTTTCTTGTTTATATTTTTCTTAAGGTGACATCAATTTCTTGGTATTCCTTTTGCTTCATTGAACTTTCCATCTGTAGGTCGATCCAGATGGTGCAAATCTTCCAACCAAGCTCTGTAGTGCAATTATTGACTCGTTGAATCACAGAAGAAGTTTACTGGATGAGTTTAAAGATGTCAAAGAACAAGTGTCCCTCCTGGAAAAGGTTTCTGATCACACTGGCAATCGCGACAGCAAGAGAAAGATAGCTGTTGGTGTCGATGAGCCTGTTTCAAAGCGAAAGAAGGATGTTGATGATGATAAAGCCAAGACGAAACCTGTTGCTTTAGTTCCACCTAGAATGCACGCCGCCAGTTCTGATGTATTTTTCGAAGCCGCACAGCCTGGAAAACGGAGCAAGCAAAAAAGGAAAAATAAAGATGCTTGCACTCCCCCTCTTCATGGTCCAGAAAGGTCAGAGGAACCCACACAGATAAGTAACCATAGGCATTCATTTCCACCAGATATGGCATCTCGCTTTTTCGATCGTGACTATCCCGTGAATTCGCCTCATGTTCCACGTTTTATGCCAGACGATCGTGCTTATGCAGTTTATCGGTCATCGCTGCGTTACTATCCTCAAAATCCAGACCAGATATCAACTCATAGCTACAAACCAGAACATGGGCCTCCTTTCGACCGATATCCAAGCGTTGATACATACAACCAGGACTTACCTAGGCCTGAATCACGTGGTTATTACTTTGATCATGAGCTGAACCGTGCTTATACCCAAGGTAACAGTGCTTTTTACAATGCTACTCGTTCGTTGTTGGAGATGAACAATGGCGATGGCCATTCAATTGCGAAGATGAACTCGAACAACTCTGAGAGCCTCAATTCGAGTTTCCCTCAACAGGTTTCGTCTACTGCACCTTTCTGGCAACAGTATGCAAACCTTGCCAAGTCCTTCACCAGTAAGGATGCCCCCGCGCCTTCAAGCGCGTTTTCGGAATCAAAACAATCTGATGGAAGCTGCACAGATACCGCTTCAATTTCGTCACAAGAAGAGCTCAGCACACGTGACTCGCTCAAATCTCCAAGCTCTTCGAAGCGACGACGCCCGTCTTCGACACACTCTTTGCCAGTGACAAAATCTGAACGCTCGTTCAAAGATCCATTGAAATCTTCAACTCCAAATGCAGGAGGCGTGCCAAGCAAAATAAAAAAGGGGAGCAGCGACCATAACTCGAAAGTCAATAGCATAAAACAGCAGTCAGGACCAACTGAATTTGCGCATGCATTGAAAAAGCCACCTCCATTTAAAGCAGAAGCGTCTACCAAACATTATTTTACTCAGTCGGCAATTTCCTCATTTCCTCATTTTGCCAAGAAAGTGGGCGTGCAAGGCAGTTCTGTAAATACAGCTCTTGCTTCTCAGAAATTGACAGAAGACAAGGTCGCTGAAAGGGGACAGTTGAAATCAACACCACAACAATCGCCAAAGTCCTCCTCGACTATGACTCCGATTTTGACTTCCAACGAGCAAGGCTTGGCGATGACTAACGGTAGTAATGATGTTGTAGCAAGTAAGTCTGTATTGAAGGATACTTTAGGAGTTTCTACAGCGCAGTCAGCCACAGATTATAATGTTTTAAAACAATTAGGAAAGCAAATCGCACTAAAAAATGGGACAATGCGCACAAAGGTGTTGTTAAGCGATCTGTCATTACCAATATCACCGAAGCTTTTTTCCCCGCCAATAATGACCTACAACCAAATAATGCACGTACCGAGCAGTGATAAAGAAAAAACCTTGGCAATGGCAGCGCAGACCAAGAAAACAATAGTTCTAGGGACCGCTGCTGTTGCCGGGCAGGCAAAGGGATGCACTGGTTACGAAGCATCTGCCAAGGGCACAGCTGCAACTGTTGATCACTCTCAAAGGCACGTCGGTTCAGCCGCATTGCAAACATGGGATGCCAAGCCCCCCGTTCCATCTACATTCAAAATATCATCGGATTTGATCGTTTCCAAAAGTGATGGCCAGTCATTATCAAATGTAACTATTTACAAACCAGGGAGAGCATCTGTGACAAAATCATCACGAAAACCTAAGGCTAGTACTAAAATTGCCGCAGCTGCTAAAAAGAGCGAAAGCGTTACTAAAACATCTACAAAACTGACGGGAAGGCAAGACGTAGCAAATGCCAGTGATCGCGTGGTCTACAGAAATTCAGTGATGACTATCTTGCCTGCACATCCGCGCCTTGTTGTTGTTCCTACAGTAACATCGTGCCCATCCGTTGCTTCAAGTGATGCAGGTCCTTCTACTGTTCTGTACATAAGTTCGCAAAATCAAGGCCAGCGGGGACACTGTCCAATCGTCGCTAGCAGTAACAATGTTGTTGATGGTAAAGAACCCACAATCTCAACCTCGGCTGCATCGAAATGAAATACAAACGCCTAAGGGTTGTGGGCCCGTAGCCTAAGTATATTATTTGCTGCGTTATATATCTAGAATTAAATCGAATGGTGTACAAAGAACTGGGTGAGTAAAGTAAGAAGATCCGATAGGGTCAGAAATGTACCCGTGTTTTCACAAATTAGGCTTGCTTTAATTTTTTAATGCAAGTTTATACCGAGTCAAAAAAGTGTCATGCTGGGCAATAAGCTGGATTCTGGGCCGTCTCTTGCTACATCGGTTCATGCTAGTAACTCAAACAGGTAGTTTTACAAACACTTACTTAGATGGATTTTGTAGTGGCAGTTACTCTATGCCTAGATCTTTTTTGGTACTTTTACAGAAAGTTTGCAAGTCTTTCCATTTCTGTCCTGCTTCTGTATTTTCCTCTTCGCTATTTAAAGATTGGCCTAGTTACAAATTTCGAGCCCTGCCACTGTTAGGCCCAGTTATTGTTAGGCCCAGTTATTGCTAGGCCAAGTTACTGTTAGGCCCTGCCAGTGTTATGCCCTGACATACCTCAGCCGACTTGATGATAGCACGATGAATGACGGTTCCCTCCAGCAACTGTGTATGCTTGTAATAGCTTTAGAGATTAAAAGATTTCGTTCTCAGATGCAGTCACATTTTAGATCTCATACGAACATTCATGTAATCAAGTATCACAAATTTTAGTTGCTGTTACGTGATTTTTATTTGAAGACATTTATTTGTTACCTTTCTTAGACTGTTTCATGTTTTATCTTTTATAAAAGTTATAAATTTTTCAGACCTTTTCATTTCAGAATACTTGCTATCTGATTCTGTCACAAAACAAAAACGGTCATCACTGAGTTTCTCTACCCTGCTTCACATTCGAAGACAAAAAAATCACATTACAATCAAAAATGCATTAGAAGTTCAACAACTCAAGAATGTGTTGGTAAAAAATATCTATTTTTCATCAATAATACCAATAACATCTCGTTAGCAGCAAGGCAGAATGAAGGAGTAATAATATATCATGGTAATTTTTCATAAAAAAAACTAAAGCTATAGGCTTTGAAAAATTCATGGTTTTTGACAAAACATTTTTCATTAATTTTATGACTTCTAGAGATGGAGTTTGTGATAATAACGATGTTGTCAATGTAGTAGAATCGTATCTTGAAAAGCAAGCAAAAGATAGGGGTCGAATATCATGGTGATTTTTCATCAAAAACTAAGGCTATAGGCTTTGAAAAATTCATGGTTTTTGACAAAAATATTTTGATCAATTTTATGACTTCTAGAGATGGAATTTATGATAATAACGATGTTGTCAATGTAGTAGAATCGTATCTTGAAAAGCAAGCAAAAGATAGGGGTCGAATATCATGGTGATTTTTCATCAAAAACTAAGGCTATAGGCTTTGAAAAATTCATGGTTTTTGACAAAAATATTTTGATCAATTTTATGACTTCTAGAGATGGAATTTATGATAATAACGATGTTGTCAATGTAGTAGAATGGTATCTTGAAAAGCAAGCAAAAGATAGGGGTCGAATATCATGGTGATTTTTCATCAAAAACTAAGGCTATAGGCTTTGAAAAATTCATGGTTTTTGACAAAAATTTTTTGATCAATTTTATGACTTCTAGAGATGGAATTTATGATAATAACGATGTTGTCAATGTAGTAGAATCGTATCTTGAAAAGCAAGCAAAAGATAGGGGTCGAATATCATGGCGATTTTTCATCAAAAACTAAGGCTATAGGCTTTGAAAAATTCATGGTTTTTGACAAAAATTTTTTGATCAATTTTATGACTTCTAGAGATGGAATTTATGATAATAACGATGTTGTCAATGTAGTAGAATGGTATCTTGAAAAGCAAGCAAAAGATAGGGGTCGAATATCATGGTGATTTTTCATCAAAAACTAAGGCTATAGGCTTTGAAAAATTCATGGTTTTTGTAAAAATTTTTTTATCAATTTTATGACTTCTAGAGATGGAATTTGTGATAAAAACGATGTTGTCAATGTAGTAGAATCGTATTTTGAAAAGCAAGCAAGAAGATAGGGGTCGAATATCATGGTGATTTTTCATCAAAAACTAAGGCTATAGGCTTTGAAAAATTCATGGTTTTTGACAAAAATTTTTTGATCAATTTTATGACTTCTAGAGATGGAATTTATGATAATAACGATGTTGTCAATGTAGTAGAATCGTATCTTGAAAAGCAAGCAAAAGATAGGGGTCGAATATCATGGTGATTTTTCATCAAAAACTAAGGCTATAGGCTTTGAAAAATTCATGGTTTTTGTCAAAAATTTTTTTATCAATTTTATGACTTCTAGAGATGGAATTTGTGATAAAAACGATGTTGTCAATGTAGTAGAATGGTATCTTGAAAAGCAAGCAAAAGATAGGGGTCGAATATCATGGCGATTTTTCATCAAAAACTAAGGCTATAGGCTTTGAAAAATTCATGGTTTTTGTCAAAAATTTTTTTATCAATTTTATGACTTCTAGAGATGGAATTTATGATAATAACGATGTTGTCAATGTAGTAGAATGGTATCTTGAAAAGCAAGCAAAAGATAGGGGTCGAATATCGTGGTGATTTTTCATCAAAAACTAAGGCTATAGGCTTTGAAAAATTCATGGTTTTTGTGAAAAATTTTTTTATCAATTTTATGACTTCTAGAGATGGAATTTGTGATTAAAACGATGTTGTCAAAGTAGTAGAATCGTATCTTGAAAAGCAAGCAAAAGATAGGGGTCGAATATCATGGTGATTTTTCATCAAAAACTAAGGCTATAGGCTTTGAAAAATTCATGGTTTTTGTCAAAAAATTTTTTATTAATTTTATGACTTCTAGTGATGGAATTTGTGATATAAACGATGTTGTCAATGTAGTAGAATCGTATCTTGAAAAGCAAGGAAGTAGAAAGGGGTCGAATATCATGGCGATTTTTCATCAAAAACTAAGGCTATAGGCTTTGAAAAATGCATGGTTTTTGACAAAAAATTTTTGATCAATTTTATGACTTGTAGAGATGGAATTTATGATAATAACGATGTTGTCAATGTAGTAGAATGGTATCTTGAAAAGCAAGCAAAAGATAGGGGTCGAATATCATGGTGATTTTTCATCAAAAACTAAGGCTATAGGCTTTGAAAAATTCATGGCTTTTGACAAAAAATTTTTTATCAATTTTATGACTTCTAGAGATGGAATTTGTGATAAAAACGATGTTGTCAATGTAGTAGAATGGTATCTTGAAAAGCAAGCAAAAGATAGGGGTCGAATATCATGGTGATTTTTCATCAAAAACTAAGGCTATAGGCTTTGAAAAATTCATGGTTTTTGACAAAAATTTTTTGATCAATTTTATGACTTCTAGAGATGGAATTTATGATAATAACGATGTTGTCAATGTAGTAGAATGGTATCTTGAAAAGCAAGCAAAAGATAGGGGTTGAATATCATGGCGATTTTTCATCAAAAACTAAGGCTATAGGCTTTGAAAAATGCATGGTTTTTGGCAAAAAATTTTTGATCAATTTTATGACTTCTAGAGATGGAATTTATGATAATAACGATGTTGTCAATGTAGTAGAATGGTATCTTGAAAAGCAAGCAAAAGATAGGGGTCGAATATCGTGGTGATTTTTCATCAAAAACTAAGGCTATAGGCTTTGAAAAATTCATGGTTTTTGTGAAAAATTTTTTTATCAATTTTCTGACTTCTAGAGATGGAATTTGTGATAAAAACGATGTTGTCAATGTAGTAGAATCGTATCTTGAAAAGCAAGCAAAAGATAGGGGTCGAATATCATGGCGATTTTTCATCAAAAACTAAGGCTATAGGCTTTGAAAAATTCATGGTTTTTGACAAAAATTTTTTGATCAATTTTATGACTTCTAGAGATGGAATTTATGATAATAACGATGTTGTCAATGTAGTAGAATGGTATCTTGAAAAGCAAGCAAAAGATAGGGGTCGAATATCATGGTGATTTTTCATCAAAAACTAAGGCTATAGGCTTTGAAAAATTCATGGTTTTTGTGAAAAATTTTTTTATCAATTTTATGACTTCTAGAGATGGAATTTGTGATAAAAACGATGTTGTCAATGTAGTAGAATGGTCTCTTGAAAAGCAAGCAAAAGATAGGGGTCGAATATCATGGCGATTTTTCATCAAAAACTAAGGCTATAGGCTTTGAAAAATTCATGGTTTTTGACAAAAATTTTTTGATCAATTTTATGACTTCTAGAGATTGAATTTATGATAATAACGATGTTGTCAATGTAGTAGAATGGTATCTTGAAAAGCAAGCAAAAGATAGGGGTCGAATATCGTGGTGATTTTTCATCAAAAACTAAGGCTATAGGCTTTGAAAAATTCATGGTTTTTGTGAAAATTTTTTTTATCAATTTTCTGACTTCTAGAGATGGAATTTGTGATAAAAACGATGTTGTCAATGTAGTAGAATCGTATCTTGAAAAGCAAGCAAAAGATAGGGGTCGAATATCATGGTGATTTTTCATCAAAAACTAAGGCTATAGGCTTTGAAAAATTCATGGTTTTTGAAAAAAATTTTTTGATCAATTTTATGACTTCTAGAGATGGAATTTGTGATAAAAACGATGTTGTCAATGTAGTAGAATCGTATCTTGAAAAGCAAGGAAGAAGAAAGGGGTCGAATATCATGGCGATTTTTCATCAAAAACTAAGGCTATAGGCTTTGAAAAATTCATGGTTTTTGACAAAAATTTTTTGATCAATTTTATGACTTCTAGAGATGGAATTTATGATAATAACGATGTTGTCAATGTAGTAGAATGGTATCTTGAAAAGCAAGCAAAAGATAGGGGTCGAATATCATGGTGATTTTTCATCAAAAACTAAGGCTATAGGCTTTGAAAAATTCATGGTTTTTGACAAAAATTTTTTTATCAATTTTATGACTTCTAGAGATGGAATTTATGATAATAACGATGTTGTCAATGTAGTAGAATGGTATCTTGAAAAGCAAGCAAAAGATAGGGGTCGAATATCATGGCGATTTTTCATCAAAAACTAAGGCTATAGGCTTTGAAAAATTCATGGTTTTTGACAAAAATTTTTTGATCAATTTTATGACTTCTAGAGATGGAATTTATGATAAAAACGATGTTGTCAATGTAGTAGAATCGTATCTTGAAAAGCAAGCAAAAGATAGGGGTCGAACATCATGGCGATTTTTCATCAAAAACTAAGGCTATAGGCTTTGAAAAATTCATGGTTTTTGTCAAAAATTTTTTTATCAATTTTATGACTTCTAGAGATGGAATTTGTGATAAAAACGATGTTGTCAATGTAGTAGAATCGTATCTTGAAAAGCAAGGAAGTAGAAAGGGGTCGAATATCATGGCGATTTTTCATCAAAAACTAAGGCTATAGGCTTTGAAAAATTCATGGTTTTTGTCAAAAATTTTTTTATCAATTTTATGACTTCTAGAGATGGAATTTATGATAATAACGATGTTGTCAATGTAGTAGAATGGTATCTTGAAAAGCAAGCAAAAGATAGGGGTCGAATATCGTGGTGATTTTTCATCAAAAACTAAGGCTATAGGCTTTGAAAAATTCATGGTTTTTGTGAAAATTTTTTTATCAATTTTATGACTTCTAGAGATGGAATTGATGATAATAACGATGTTGTCAATGTAGTAGAATGGTATCTTGAAAAGCAAGCAAAAGATAGGGGTCGAATATCATGGTGATTTTTCATCAAAAACTAAGGCTATAGGCTTTGAAAAATTCATGGTTTTTGTCAAAAATTTTTTTATCAATTTTATGACTTC